CAGGCCCAAGTCCCATCACCGGGCTCCCCTGGTACGGGTCGTAGTGCGCGATAGTCGGAGAGGCCTGGTTGTACGGGGTTGCCATCGGTGCAAGACCTGGGGGTGCCTGCTGTGGTATCGTCGCCCGGCCACTGAGCTGCTGGAGGGCCTGGACCGCTTCCTGGTAGTATCCCGCAGACTCCACCTGCATGTCCGCAGCTACCATCTGATCCCACTCTTGCAGCTCTGACTCTCGTGCCGTGTCCGCAGCCTGTGTCGCCGCGGTACCATTCAGGATCACCTCTTTCACACGCCCCGCGGCTGCGACTCCTGCTGCCTCCGCCTGTAGCAGCTCTTTTCCGATCCTCTCCAGGTCGGACTCGTATTGCTGCTTCTGGCGAACGTAGTTCGCGCGCTGGTCCTGCAGCCATTGGTTCCACTGCTTCTGCTTGAGGTCCTTTTCGTCCCTCAGGCGTCGGAGCCGTCCATCGGCCTTTCTCGCAGCCGTCAACGCCTTCTGTACCGCGTTCATGACTGTAGTATTTTCCGACGCCGCACCACTTGTGTTTGCTTCCCCAGCTGTCTGTCGCCACGGCCGTCCGCTCCAGCTGGAGGTGCCCGCTGGATCTAACTGCACCTTGTCGTAGCGGTTCTGATGGCGTGGGGAGACCGACCATGAGCCCTGCCAATAGCGCACAGATGATTCTGCTCCGCCTCCTGCAGGTGCCTTCCATGCATCCGCCTTTGCCTTGTTCCATGGCTTCTGGCCTCTGGTCATGGACAACTCGCGGTAGCGCGGAGTTGTATGGTGGGCCTGTAGCAGAAGGAGAGCTGGAAGTGGGGGTGGCCGCCCTTCGCGGCGGGCTTTCCAAATAGATTTCCGAGCTCTCGAACGGTGATACCTCTGTCTGCGGTGCCAGGACGGCGAAGGAGGATGGCTTCGCGTCGTGCCGATTTCGGCACTGGGGTCTACCGGCAATGACACCTACCTACGGGTGCCTCGATCCGGGACGCCTAGTTACACACACACACACACACACTCACACAGCCACACGCGGAGACGGACACGGACACGGACACAGACACACGCACGCACAGAGACACATGCGGACACATTGATGTGTTGTGCAGCCTTCATGTTTCTGTATATTCAACTTCGGCTGTGCAACGCCGCACCTTCAGCAGAGGCTATGCCCTTTAGCACCCCTCGCTAGCACCCCTCACGATTGAACCTGTTGCCGGCCAAAAGACCGCTTCATTACATACCCCCTGCAAAGTAACCAGCTGAAATCGCTGCAAAACTCAATGGCCCGAAGCGAAAACGAACCCCCAAAGCTGCAATACTTGCAGTGTCATATTCATGAACAAAGGTCTAGACTCGCACCTGGATCCCTGACAGAAGATCTTGAGGAGACTGTTGTGTCAAGGGGACAGGGTTTAAAAGGGGTAGGTGTAAGGGCTAACTGCGGCTAACTACAGAACTACAAGCCTTGTCGGGAATAGTAGCCTACCCTGAACCCTAAGCTTCTAAATCCTAAGTCCTTCAATAGCCTATAGCTGGGAGCCTCATCTCAGGCTCGATGTGTTGACTCGAACCCGTATAACTGTGCTGACACCCCAACGGCCCTATACCTGCTCTATGTAACAATATTCCAAAGCATCCGTGCAGAAGCTTCCATGAGACCACTGGGGGAATCCCAAACCTCCAACCCCCACCAGTCCCCACTTCCAAAACCCAAACGCACAAACGTTTATCCTATGTCCTACCTCTCGATATCCCAAGTCAAAACCAAACCCTGAACCTCAAGAGCTGAATTTAAAGCCCCGAGCCCAAACGCAAACCCTGAATCTTGAACATGCGAAACTCTCTTCTACCCAACCAAAGCCGGGTAAAGCCCCACAGCCCTAAGCCCAGAGGCGTCTTCGACCGGCTGCAGGGCTTTCAACGGCTCTTGGCACGTCGACGATGCCTTGAAGACCGGCTTTTAGGGCTCAGGGCTATGGCTTCTATGCTTATTCGGTTGAGCAGGTTTCAAGGTTTAGGTCTTTGCGGGTCTCGGGCCAGGGCTTTGGAGTCTGAGGGTGTCGGGGTATTGGGTTTGCAGTTCCTGGCTTCTTGGGCTCGAAGCTGGGCGAGGGCTGCACGTGGGCTTTACCAGAGCTTTCACGCTTTTGATCGTTCTGTTGAGACGGACCCGTATACCGGCCTGAATGCTCAGCAACCGGCTTTCTTAAGGGTGTCCCATCTCATGGACTGAGGAGTTGGTCCATCTTGTTCGGCGGGCCTTCTTCGAAAGCTTAGAGCGGCTGAGCTCATAGGTTTGCGAAGCGTCTTCCAGCTGAAGACCTTCAGATGATTTTGGATGGCACCATCACCTTCACTAAATCCTCCGGTAGTACCGTTCTACCCCTTTACTTCGAGGTTTCGAAATGACGTGACAAAGGGGCAGGCCCATGTCATCATGGGCTTACCGGGGGACCCTAAACCCTAAACTCCTGGGTCAGTTTGCGGTGCAGGACATAGTCTCCATGGTGAAGAAGACAGATGCAGCAACTGGGGCCTGACATTTGCTTGAGCATTCTGGCTGGGCTTTAGGGTTGAGGGCGCGACAAGTCTCCTCGGATGTTCCACGGGGCTCGCTCTGAAGCCTGTGCAGATCTTGGGTTTCGGGGTGAGTATGAGGCTGCAACTCGGTCTGTCAATCCTCAATCTTCAGGCCCTGTATTCTGCACCCAAAACACTCCCGAACCCGACACACTTTGGGCCTCGGCCTCGGTCCTCAGGCTCCGAATCGTAGAAGAATCAGCAAGTGGATGCACGAATAGGCGAGGGCTGGGCCCTGTGCCCTCCCGAGACTCGCAAACAGGGGCTGGCCAAAAGCAGCTGGTGAACAGTCCGCAGTTTGCAAAAGGGATGTGACCAGCACCTGCCCCAACCAGCGTTCGGGCAGGTTTGCAATTGATGTCACTGCGACAATGCTCAAAGCTTGTAGGTGGTGGCGGCGTCGTGTTGGGATGTGTAGGTCTGCCGATAACGCACGCTCACAAGGCCAAAGAACAGCTGCTTTGTCCTCCAAAGAGGCAGAAGGAAATACGTCGTTTCGCCACTGTTCATAGGTATACACTCGAAAACCGGATGATCTTGGATTCACAATCGTGGTCCGTGACCTCGCGACCCTAAGCCCCAGATTTTAACCTTAATCCCTCGACTCGCAACTTTCGCGCCTGGACAAGCCTCAAACCCCAAGCACCGGATTTCAAAGCACAAAGCCCAAACCTGGAATCCTGCACGCGGGCTCCCAGAACCTCCTGCATCCTATGCTGGTGAAGCTTGTGTCAGATTAAAGAAGCCCTAAACTCGACACCTCGCATGGCTGAACACCTACGCTCCGTTCTCTATCACATACTGTACAGTTTATGCTATGACAATATAACATTTCCTCACACATACAAGATGATGTTGTTGTATCAGATCTTTTAGAGGTGCGGGAGGCGCTGTTTGCCTGCCGCCCGGCGGAGGAACTGCCGGTCGCCGAGATGGCAGAGGCGGCTTGTTTTTCTGTGTTGAGGGGTTTCTAGCAGTTTAAGACATTCAGGGGCAAAGGGACCTTTGGTTTCACCAGCTTGCACTTCAGAGGGCTTTGGTCGCTGAGGTGAGTTATCAGGCATGCTTCCTGGTCGTTTCTGTTCTGTCTCAGGTTTCCATAAGCGAAGATTTCGTGAAGGGTTACGCTGTCACTGTATCTTAAGGCCCTAAGCCTCCCAGCGATGTCCTTTGATTATTATGCCGTACAGAATGTCGCCAGATTGCATACTTAAAGCCTTCAAAGCGGGCTCATCGCCAAGACTAGCAGACTAGCAATTTCGGATTGCGATTTGCCAGGTCGCTGTGCCCACCCCGCACTCAGAAGCAGATTGCGGGGTCCGCACGCCGACACCGCACCAATACTCACCCAGCCCTAGCATACCCGGCGCCACGCAGCACTGCGGCTGCACCTGAATCCCTCCACGAAGTCACGCAGCACGTGTCATTTTGACCATGCACCTGGTCACTACGCCTCTCACGACGCACGCATACAGCCCGAAACCCTTGCATTTGCAGGGCTGCAGGGGTTTGGGCACTTCGTGACATGACTGACACGCTCTTACAACCTCTCCTCGCGCTCGGCATAAGGGTCTCATGTCTTTATATTAGGTCTCACCCCACTTTTCGCGAGATTGTACGGTGGCGTGCAGTTGAGATTTTAGCTTCTGCCGTTGAGGTGGTGACGTTGTGCTCGCGGCTGCCGGCGAGGAGCAGGCCCGAAGCAGACCATCAACACAACGCGCCGTAAGCCCGTCTTAAGCCATTAGAGGCCTGACAGAGATCCAGGAACGTTGAAACTAGATCATTGCAGCTGTAGTAAAGAACCTACTACCCTTCCAGGGCCGTCGGAGTGAAGCGTGCGCGCTTCCTGACGGAGCCCTTGCGCTGCGCTCTCTCCCAGGCGCTGGATGTTGTTGCCAGTTTTGCCAGCATCTTCCGCTGCCTCTTGTGGATCGAAGCATGAATTGCGGAAGCCAGATTGGTGGCGATGTTCTTGATGAGATGATGGAGATTAGACTCAGACTTGATTAGATGATGATGATGATGATCATGATGATGGCGATGATGATAACGATGATGATGATGGTGATGATGATGATGATGGTGGTGATGATGATGATGATTGATGACGATGACGATGATGATGATGGTGGTGACGATGACCACGATGACGATGAGTATATTTTATTGTTGTGGTGATGATGATGATGATGATGACGATGGTTTTGGTTTTGATGCTCGTTGTTGTTGTTGTTGGTGGTGGTTGTGGTGGTGGTTGTGGTGGTGGCGGCGGCGGCGGCGCTGATGGTGGAAGCGGCGGCGGCGGCGGTGGTGGTGGTGGCGATGATGGCGATGATGCTGTTGCGAGGCTGAGGGCGGTGTTGGTGCTAGTGCTGTAGGCCGTGGTGATGGTGATGGCGATGGTGGTGGCGTGGCGCCAGTGGCCGCATGATTGCTTGTATCGTTGTCAATCCATCAACCACACAAGTTCTGGCACCTGACCTCTCGTCCTTGCATGCGAGTCCAAAAACCCGTGCCACTCAGATCCAGCAGAGCCAAGCAAGGAGTTGCAGGGAGTCTTTTAGAAGTTACCCCCAGCCCATGGACGCAAATGCTTTAACCTGCAGAGCAGAGGAGTGTGTCCGCAAGACTATGAGCAAATGGAGCAACTGCAAAACCTCTAGTTCCAAGCTTAATCCTTGAACAGAGCCTTCCGAAACCTTCCCGAGGCGCTCCTGTCCACGCTGCGCGAGACAGGTACTTGGCCGAAGGCGCCCGCCCGTGTGACTCCTACCTCTCACCGACTCTTTTTGTGTAATGCTGCTGCTGTGGATTTGAGCAGTACTTAGATGTGGTTAGTTGCTTATTTTAGCTTGCAGTGGTGGTGGTGGCGGTGGTGGTGGGGTGCTGCTGCTGCTGGCTGGTAGCTGGTAGCTGGTAGCTGGTCGCTGGTGGTGGTCCTGGTAGTGGTGGTGGCGGCACTAGCAGTGCTAGTTTTCTTTTACTACTTCTAGTGTGCTAAAACTAATGTTAGTACACTTCCAGTCCTACGACTAGAGCTAGATAATCGTCTCTGTGTTTTCGCATCCCTGATGGCTTGTGAGTGTGGCTTCAAGTGCATCTCTTGGTCCTCATCGAATCGAGACTTGCTGCACTGCTAGTTGTTAGCAGGTAGCAGTTAGCAGGTCGCAGCTAGTAGTCGAGTAGCCGGTAGGTTCGCAGTTAGCAGTCAGCTGTTAGTAGATATCAATACTTCGCAGTTAGTACCCAGTAGTCAGGCGGTAGGTTTGGAGTTCTTACTTGGTAGTTAGTAGATACTAGTCGGTATCAATAGTCGGTAGCTAGTAGGTTGTAGTGGTAGTGGCAGTGCAAGTGGCAGTGGCCGTGGCCGTGGCGCTGGCGGTGGCGGCGGTGGCGGTGGCGGTGGCGGTGGCGGTGGCGGTGGCGGTGTCGGTGGTGTTGGTGGTAGTAGTGGTCGCAGTAGTCGTAGTTATCGTGCTCGCAGTCGCAGCCGTAGTCGTAGTCGCGGTCCCAGTCTTAGTGGTTTTTCAGCAGCAGCAGCAGGAGGAGCAGAAGCAGCAGCAGCAGCAGCAGCAGCAGCAGCAGCAGCAGTGGTCGTGGTCGCGGTTTTGGTCGTGGTCGTGGTGGGTGGGGGTGGTGGTAGTGGTCCTGGTCTGGCGGTAATGGTAGTGGTAGTGGTGGTAGTAGTAGCAGTAGTAGTCGTGGTTGTAGCAGTAGGAGCAGTAGCAGTAGTCGTGGTAGACGACGACGACGACGACGACGACTACTACTACTACTACTTCTACTGCTAATTACTACTACTACTACTACTACTACTACTACTGCTACTGCTACTGCTACTGCTACTACTGCTACTGCTACTGCTACTACTGCTACTGCTACTGCTACTACTGCTACTTCTACTGCTACTACTGCTACTGCTACTGCTACTGCTACTGCTACTGCTACTGCTACTGCTACTGCTACTGCTACTGCTACTGCTACTGCTACTGCTACTGCTACTGCGAATGCGGCTGCGACTGCGCCTGCAACTG